TGATGCCCAGGGCGCCGACCCCTCCCGAGAACCCGTTCTGGCGCGAACCGGAGGCGGACTGTCGCGGGTGTCCGATGGCCATCTCCGAAAGCTGCTTCTGCATAATTGCCAGATTCACCTGCAGGAGGAGAAAGACATTAATAAATGAACAGGGGAGAAAATATTTGGTGTTCAGGGATAAAGTGGGAAACCTGTGGAGCCTTGAAAAGCAACGACTAATACAAGGATTTGCTGCACACATGTGATGGGTGAGGCTACCAGACGGGTTTGTTTCTCTCCTTTGGGGTGTCAATTTATGTGCTCAAAGATGAGGAGAAATGAACAAGCGCGACTGAAAAGAAACAAGACATTTCCCTCTGACAACACCAACAGTACAAAGCAACATGTAGAGAATGTACACAGTTGTGCTGTTTTACATGTGTTTTGTTGAGTCAAGCGTAAAGGAGCTGTTTTACACAATTACAAGAAACAGTATGAACACATGTAAAGTACTTATTTAAATTCACATCCAGGTGTAAAACAAGGTGTAAAATGCCTAATCAAAATATATTGTTTTTTACAGTTAGTGCATTTCTCCATGTGCCATATAAATGTTTAGTAATTTGATCGAATGTTTTATACTCTCTCGTCTTTATGTGGCAACTTTCATAAAAATGAACACGGTCCTCTCCAACGCTTCATTAGATTTGCTAATGTCGAAAGGAATTCATGACAAAAATATATATTGAGATGTATATTAATTAGACAAATATATCTTACTAGAGACGTGATCAAAGTGTCTTTTTGTCTCCTTCAACTTTACACAATTGATTTTCAAATTGAATTGAAGTTTTTGAATGTGAAGTTCCTCTGATTCACCTCTTTAAATGATCTTAATTCTTAATTTTGACATTTCACCATTTTAATGATGACTTTTGTTTGAATGGTTCTACCAGTATCGGTTCGTTCACATTGTTCACTATTGTACACTATTTATTCTTCTAATGACTCAAAACCTTCAGGCTTTTCAATCAGAATAGTCATTAAACGGGAGAAATGTGATTATGTTTTTCCAGCTAAGAAGAACCCTGCGGTGCATCAGCATTGTTTTGACATTCAACAGCTCACTCTGTTCATCCGCCTCGTCTGCAAAGTTGGCTACCAGACATGTAAATATAAGGATCATTGACATCTCCGAGTGACTTTGAGGGCCGTTGAAGGGGTGAGAGCAATGGGGTAAGAACAATGGAATACATATATGTTTTACAAACGTAGCCTAGAAAACAACTGCAAAAAAGCCCATACGGAAACATTAATCACAATACTCAGTATTTATTGAACTATTTATCTTGCATATTTTCCTTCTACAGTTGTTTCAATAACTTAATGATAAGTACGGGCAGGCCGGGATGTGATATGTTGCATTCTGCATCGCGAGTCATGCAGGAAAGCTGCAAAAGAGGACTGAACATTCAATGCAGCTTACGATGAGGGAGATGGCTGAGGACGGGCGATACAGGGAGTTAATCCCTGTAGGGAAACATTTAGCAGATAACTGAATGTGTGGCATGTTATGTGAATTTATCAGCCACGACCTGCTCCGTCCCTGAAGCTCTCACCTTGTTGGCTGCCAGGAAGTCCCTCATGGAGATCATCTCCCCAGACATCCTGCGCCCGGTGTCAGTCTCGCTGTCGTTGATGGCGTCGGTCTCGATGGAGAGGTCCCTGCGGGCGCGGAGGTGCCCCGGGGCCACCACGTTCCGCCGGGTTCGCCGGTGGGGGTGGTGGCCCCTACTGGGCAAACAGCAGCGGCAGGGGGCCTCCAGCCTCATTAGCAGCCAGTTTAGGACCTGCTTGATGACAATGGAGATGACGTTGAAGAGGGAGTAGATACAGCAGACCCCGGTCAGGATGAAGAAGAAGTTGCCCAGCCGGTACGCGACCATGGCGTGACCCTCGTAGACAACCCGTTGGCTGCTCACCATGTCTCCAAAACCAATGGTGCTGAAGGCTACAAAGCAGAAGTAGAGCGAGTCCAGATAGCCCCATCCCTCTGCTGCCGTGTACATGAACGAGGCACAGCAGGACACCAAGATGGCTGCCGCTCCAAGAATGAGCATGACGCAGTAGACCGAAGGCTTCCAGCCAGCCAGATCCTGTCCTTGCACTCCTCCACCTCCCCCAGCTCCGCCTGCTCCGTTTTCCCTGGAGACCTGGTGGCCATTTGGAGGCAGCACAGCTTTGTTATGACGTCGTTGGTGACACGACTTTAGGACCACGGCGATTACGGTAATGACCCGCTCAAGGAAGAGGTTGAAGAAGAGTATGGTGGCTGCACAGCCGAGTAGGCCGTAGACCATCAGGAAGACCTTTCCTCCAATGGTGGCAGGAGTGGTCATCCCAAACCCTGAGATACACACAAACACATGAGCACTAAATGAAGATATAGTGAATGAACACTGAGACTCATTTCATTACTTGACCTTCACAGGTGCAAGTGTCTCTAAATAAAGAATAAATAATGTTATTCAAATCATTACCATCACTTGAAAAACACTTTTAGTGCCCCTTTTTCTTAACGCACTAACGAATGTAACACTTTTTAAAAGGTTTTCTTACAGTAACACACACTTAAATGTTCATCCCTTTCATGTAAATTAACAGTCAACGCTGTAAATGAACAGTTAATGGTGTCAATTAACAATGACAGCAAACTATTAACATTTATGTTATGGTAACATTCTATAATCCAATATATGTTAACCTCATTTTTAAACCAAACTCACATATTCTCTGTCATTAACAACGACGGCTGGTATCCTATTCATCCTCGGAAAAAATGATAATCACACAACTACTTTGATCCACACTTTGTTGCCGTTGGTAACACAATCTCCTTCTCTCTCTGTCTCTTTGTAAGTCACTTAAATAGCTGAGGCGTTTTCAGTGCAAGCACATCACAGCAATCTGGGCTGGTCTAGAATGTCGCTGTAATCCCGCCAGTAACAAAATCCCAATTGTGCCCCTTCACTTCTCCGTTTGTATTCTTATAGCTAAGAAGAACCCATTGAGCTGTTTCTACTCTGACATGCTGCTGGTGTCCGACTTCTTTGTCTCCTGTGGAAAGACAGATGAACCGAATGGAAGTCCAAATGAGGTCTCTCCATCGACCGAACCCGTCTCAGTCATCCCTCATTTAACACTGAAAGCTCAATAAAGCAGCGTCTATCGCTCCGTCTGTTCATAACATTGCTGAAAATTAGAACACATGCTACATGTCACAGTCACACGCACAGCGTCCTGTGGCGTGCAGCGGCAGCTGTGAATTCCTGCAATCTGACAGCTCTTTTCACAAGAAAACACGTCGAAAAACCTAATCGTAACCTCGCCCACTGAATAAAACATTGAAGCCAATGGTTTGTCTTAAATTTAATTGTTCAATGACTTAATAACTGATGACATTATTTACATGCTTCTGTTGGAACGTGTGCATTTTTTGTGCAATGGTCCTTTAGAACAGTAGTTGTCTGTTTTCAGCACGATGGGCTGTTGATCCGATGGGACATTCTTTGGGTTATTGGGATTTCTGATCAAGGGGCTGTGGAACAAAGGCATGACCCAGAGATCCCCTATAACCCACTCCGCAGGGCTGCAGGTTTCAGAAACGGTAGTAAGGATCCTCAGATCTTTTCATTACAGTATGATCGACCACCATTTCAAACTATTGCCTTAAATAAAGTTAACCAATATGCACAGTGCTATCATCTATTTTAATAGCGTTTAACCGTTTTATCATCACAGTTCAAACTTATTTTGCTCTTTGCTATTTGAATAAATCAAATACTGATGCACACAGTTCTCTCCTTGGGCATAGGCCACATTGCTGTTTGTAAAAGTGATGAAAAGTATGAAGAGGTATTAATTTATTATCATTTTGGCTCATGTAAAGTGGCCCCCGGGAGAGAAATAAATAGGGATCGGAGGTTAGAGTTTGCAAAAAACAGGAAACTGATTTATCCAAGATTGTTGAGACTTATAATCGGGAAATGAAATAAGTTTTAATAACTGACTCATTCATTCAGACTCATTCAAACCCATAGTTCGAAAGAGATGCAGCTGGAAAAGACACGGATATTAAAGTGTTTGCTTTGAGGGAGATGTGCGTGCTCCACACCGCCGCCCGTCTCTCCATCTCACCAATGGTCGACACCACCGTTCCCACGAAGTAAAACGCGCCGGTGAAGTCCCATCGAGGTCGGACCGTATCCACACGGATCCCCGCCAGGTTCGCCTCCTCGTAGTTCCTCAGGAAGTTCTTCAGGTCTTTCTTGCTCAGGTTGTGCCTCTGACTGAAATGGTCGAACCTCTGCGCCCAGCGCTCCTTCGCCTCGCGCTCCTTCGGCTGCTCCAGCGCGGAGAAGACGGCGGCTCCACACAGGAGGTAGATGATGATGAACAGAGCCAGCAGCAGGAACCTCGCGTTGTCCTCGTTGACAGGACCGCAGCCGCAGCAGGAGCCGCTCTTGCATGCCATTATGCTGCGGTGGTCGCGGCGATGCAGCTACTGCTCGGCACCTGTGGCATGGTGTTCCGAGGGGAGGAATCGGCGACCCGTTGCTTTACGGCTGAAAAGTCATGCGCAATACAATGGAATTGTTGTTCCGGCAGATCATGATCGATTTTTTCCCCAGACTGTTGATTGGGCATTTGGCTCACGAGCGTACGGCCGCGGCTGCTCCATGTCCTGCGTCGGAGTGTCCCTGAGCAAGGCACCTGCAGCCGAACTGCTCCCTGACGCCTTTACGGCAGCACGCTGCTCCCTCTGAGTGCAGAGGACCATTCCCCCGCGGGGACTATTGAGGGACACTTTCTTCTTCTACTGTCCAAGTCCAACGTCTCCACCGGCTTGTGTCGGGGTTGCTATGCCGCTGAGAGAGAAGGGGCCCTGCCTCTCCAAACAAGCCCCCACCTCCTCTGCGCGTTCCACCCAGCGCGGAATCAGCGACATCATGTCAACGACCAGCCTCTGTCGTTGCATTTAGTTAAATCTGATACATTCCTGTGCACATGTGATTGTATGAGATTGCACAATGCGTCATTTTGCAAACTTCAGAATGAGTTCTGTCCTGAAAATGCACAACCTGAACCCGACTTTGAAAGTTTGATTCCGACGACATGGAGCGAGTTTTCGATCAATATGACTTGACCTTTGTGGGCTTTGATGAAGGATTCATGCTGCTGCCCGATTGCTTACCCGGGGACGTTGTGAGCAAATGTCACTCGAAATACATTATTCAGCATCAGAGGGAAAACCGAAAGGCTGTTTCTATAAAATTGGGAGTTTAACAACTCGACGAGAGACGTGCAAAGCCATTTCAGAACCATGGACAGAGCAGCAGCCTTTCTAGGTCACTCTCCCGCCATAAACGGCTTCTTCCAGTCAACAGTCTGCAAAGACCCTCACTGGCTGTGTCTCCCCCGTCCTCCACTCCTGGGACACTTTTTGTACATTCTCTCTGCTCTTTATCCAACATGCACGTGACACTTTATTTTAGATTTGGACATTATTCTTATTTTTTCCAGTTTACGTTTTAGTCTATTTATCGGGTTTTTGCACCATCCCAACTATATATACGGTACGGTTGAACTGAGTGATGACTGTATATTCTTTGACAGAAGTATTTCAAGTGTCAGTTGTATGAATTATTAGCAATCATTTAATGTACACTTTCTCTCTTTAAAGTGAGTGCAATAAAGGACCAGTATACACAGTAGTAATGATTAGTACTAGAGCGAAGTAAAAGCAGTATGTTAGTAATAATATGGTGCTGTTTTACAGTAAAAGCAATACATTCCCGTAGTTAAAATACTGTCAGAATTCAGAAACAGGACTGAAATGCACAAGATTCCAACAACATGTCTGGGACCAAACAGGAATAAGGCCAAGGACACATCACAGCACAGCAGGCAGGGTCACAGTGTAAGCCAAGAATAACATACGATCTGACCACGAGACACAAGTGATTGAAACACACTGGGTTGGTGCAGGTGAAAGGAGAACAATCACAGAGGGTGAGAAAAAACACCATGGGAGGAGCTGAGGTTAAGGGACATGAGAGGCAGGGACATACAGAACATAAAAAGTTATGTGAATATGATATATTGGTAAATCTTTGTGTAAGTTGTGTTTGGAGCATAATCAAACAGATTGTAGTCCAGACTCGACAGGATTGATTGTCTCCCAAATGGAGGAGTGGTTGTTATAAGCTATAAGAATGCTTAATAAACCGTTGGTGTGCAGGCTAGTGAGACATAACGGGACCATCCTATGCCATCCCGTACCAAATTACATTACTGCTTTTGCACTTAAACACAGTCATTGGCAGAACTTCAGTCTAGTTGTTACTGGATCAACTCTGTGGTGGGACTCTATGTCTTCGCACTGAACTGGTTTGAATCCTAACTGAAGGACTGAGAATACGTTGCATCGTTAGCTAATTTTAAATCAGAGATCTGTAGGTGAGTGGCGGGTGTCGCGGAGAAAGAGGTGGAGTATGACACTGACTCCGACTCTCTCTCTATCACAAGTCTCCAAGGCCTTAAATTAAGATCTCTACACGCTGAAGGAAATTGATAAATTCCTGGAAGAAACATTTGGAAAACCCCTAAAAAAAAAATGTTTGAGTGTTCTCCAGACCCAGCCAAGTTAATCAAATGGGGTTTCTTCATTACAGAAAGGGGTGGGTGCAGATCACTTGGATGAGGAGAAACGTTTCTGTCTAAAAAAAATGCTTGACTAGGGAAAGAAGGTTCAAAGAGGATAAGAACCTCTAGGAGTCTTTTGGGAAAGCGTTACATTTAGGCTTTCTGTTGGTGTTTGTTCTGTTCACTGGAACTGCACACTGTATTCCCCGTTAGATCGTACAGGAGAGGAGCCTCACGCATCATCTGCCACCTTGTCACAGGTGATTGCAGAATCAGGTGTGATAGATGTATGGACTGGTAGTCCTTCCTATCTGGTAGGCCAGCTGTGTGAAGCTGGTTCATCTAAAGACCATCATCTCTCATCTAACGGAGCTGAGCATCTGGTACACCTCGATCCCGGCTTAAGACACTGCTGTGCCTTCTGCTCTCAGACAGAAACTATCCACCATCTTGCTCCAGACTGGCTTTAGCCGCCTGCAGGCCTGGTTTCAGGGCTTAGGAGAACACTTGTCTGTCTGTCTTTTTATTTATGGTCCAAAATACTCTGCTAAGAATAAACACACACACACACACACACACACACACACACACACACACACACACACACTGATGCATTTCCTCTCAGGAGCGACCAAACAAGCAATTTTGAAAACAAAAAGGAAAAGGAGTTTGTTTATTACACACTGACAAAGGACATGGAACTCTGTAAACATTTGTCCGCTAAGGATGTTCTGTGTTGTGTTCTATTTGTTTCTTTTGTATATATATCTTTCATTTTTTTGTTGTGTGATGTAGTGAACAGTGAAGCTGTAAACTAAATTGACTGGAAGCAAAGATACTAGACAATCTCTCTCTGTCTCTCGTATCCAGTGAGCATGGGGTAACCATAGAAACTAGGTTAAAAGGTACCGTTATAAACAGGAAAATGCACACAAGCATACAGTCCTACTTCTCAGACAGACAATGTTGTGTCAACAAGATGTTTGTGAGAATGATTTGATTATCATAATACCAAAATCTTTGTTTGTCCAGCATCATTCAAAGCCTCGTCAACACTGTTGTGCTGGGAGAGCTGTTCCTTTGTTGCCATACATGTGTGGGCACTGTAGTTTATTTCAAGTCAGTCGTACACTGTCCTGCAGTAAATATCCATTAGGGCACCACATGAATTCACAGCTGAAAATAGTTCCCAATAAATTCACTATTTACCATTTTTACCCATCACAAATATTTAGTTATAATAGCAATACAGGTTGTTTTGGCTTTTCACTAATTAAACAGAAAAGTACATCATACAGCAATTATCAGTAGTTCATCAAAGTATACCAGTTTCAGATTCCTATTGACATGCATTCATTTTTTGCAAACATTTCCAAGTCAATTACTTAGAAGAATGAAGGTGGCATCAAAACACAACATTTTACAAAAGAGAAAACACTGCATTGAGGTGGGGGGGAGGGGAAACTGGAAAAGGTTGGTGTTTGCTAGTGATCCCGACCTGTGAGACAGAGCTAAGTACTGTCAGGCATTCGGGTTGCTGGATGTCCAGGATTGAGACGCAGCCAGAGAGGCGTCAAAGCAGCAAGTATTCAACAAATGAGTCATCCTCCCTTTGGAGGTGTCTTTTTGAATATCAGGTTTGTAAAATATTGTGTTTTGTAAATCTTATGTTTTTTTCTAAGATCGTTTTTGCTGTTGTAAAATCATTGTGTGTGGACTTGACCGACATTACTACAAGTTTTCTTTTTGGAATAAAATGGAACGTATCTGTCGGAAAAATGCTCCAAGGGGGTCATTAAAAGTGAGGACAATGCACGCTTCACCCCCCCGCGCCCGCCCCTCCCAATTTAATACAAACATTGTATTTGCAGTAATCCTCCCACTGGGAATTAGTAATATGTATGGATTGTGATTAGGGTGTACATTGAATATTAACTGACGACACTATATTGGAACTTTATTTTCTATTCTTTTGATGCAGTAGCAGTGTCGCTTTTCTTTCTAATTACAGGTTCATACTTGTTTGTTCTGGTTGCCATGCTAACTCGTAGTGTCATGGCTCCAGTCATGCTGGTACACTTTGATGAACTACGCGCTCAACTCTGAGTCAACCTACTCCGAGTTGATTGAACCAACTCTCAACAGCTGTTTCCCATCTCACGGTAAATCAACTCAAAGTTTAGGGTTTCAGAGTTTGTTAAACCTCCTACTTGAAACGGACGCCTGGAGGACCTGTAATAATCCCTGATGAGGTCTACTATCTATTTTTAGTCTCAACAACACCGGGGGGAAGTGACCCCGACCCCAAAAACTGTAGACGCACGGACCATCAGGGCGAAAGTTATGTAGTGTGAACACTCAACAAGTGTTCCAAAATAATATGTGTAGCAGTGTGTTTCTGTATTTTACTTCTAGTTACTTTGGGCAAATTCTCATTTCCTTTGACATTTCATGTAAAATGCACTTTTTATGCCTCAGTGTCCCGCTTCTAGAATGGCTCTTGCTTACAGGTTTAGTCATCGTTGCCCACTGGGATTTTTGCAGTAGAACGTATTCAGTGTGATAGAGAACGACGCAATAAACAGTTCACCTTTTGACACTTTGAACTGACACAGCTCATTATATGCTGATCACAAATTGATGTTACATTATTGAGGGATCATACAGTTGCACATATTAATTTTTGTTCATTTTAATTGCAAACAGAGCAAACTCACATTTCTTTCAGAGCTATTGTTTCTTTTCTTGAAACAATGCCATTATTGTGCTTTAACGTGGCCGAGACCAGAGAGATGGTGGTGGACTTCAGGAGGAGGACAACGTCTCCTCAACCATTGAGAGTTCTGGGTGAGGATGTGGAGGAGTACAAGTACCTGTGATTCTCCATCGACAACAGACTAAACTGCAAGGCCAACTTCAACACTGTGTAAAAGAAGGAGATGAGTCGACTCTTCTTCTTGAGGAAACATTGATCCTTTAATGTGTGCAGCAAGATGTTGGAGATGTTCTACCAGTGCTCCATACTTCGCCATTATCTGCTGGGGGAGCACCATGGAAGCTGGTGACGCCAACAGACTAAATAAGCTGGTGAAGGCCGGCTCCATTATTGGCTCCAAACAAGAGCCTCCAGAACAGGTATAACAAAAACTATGCAAGAAAACATTCCTGCCAACTGCAATTAGACTGTCCAACAAAACACTTCTGGCTAAATCCTTGTTTTATTGAACTTTACCAATAACCACTGCACTACTGTCTTCATTTAATACCAATAAACATGGCACTACTGTTTTAATTTCATTTTATACCTATTCCACCCCACTGTACATAAGTCTATCTCACTTTCACTTTAATCAAATTTCACTTGTCATTGTATTTTATTGTACTGTGTATATATTATGCATTTTTCATTTCTCATTCAATTACTGTACTATATTGCTACTATTACACACAAATGTCCCCCTTGGGATTAATAAACTCTATATCTATTTTGTCATTTTCAATTCTGGTCATCTGTGCAAGAACTCAGGCAAAATATGACCAGTTCCTGCCGCCTCTGACCTGCAATGCGGTGCAACTGTTTAGAGCAGAGGTCCCCAGCCGCAGAAAGAAAACAGATTTAAAATGTTTGAGAAAAAAACAGATTCTCTGCATGTGCACACATTTCCCAAGCATTTATTTTGCCTACTACTTAGG